CAGTGGCAAGGGAGGCGGGAGGGCGGCTGCCAGCAGCTGGAGCTGTCGGGCGGGCGCAGTGGGACACCACGAACGGCAGAGGTACCGCGGCGCGCCGAGGAGAAGGCACAGCACTGAGCCGTGCGGAAGCGGGGGCATAGCAGAGGCAGCGACAGGGGTATTGCAGGCACGCAGACACGCACACACGCACACACACACACGCACACGCACACGCACACGCACACGCACACGCACACGCACACGCACGCGCACACGCACACGCACACGCACACGCACACGCACACGCACACGCACACGCACACGCACACGCACACGCACACGCACACACGCACACGCACACGCACACGCACACGCACACGCACGCACACACGCACACGCACACACGCACACGCACACACGCACACGCACACGCACACGCGCACGCGCACGCGCACGCGCACGCGCACGCGCACGCGCACGCGCACGCGCACGCGCACGCGCACGCGCACGCGCACGCGCACGCGCACGCGCACGCGCACGCGCACGCGCACGCGCACGCGCACGCGCACGCACACGCGCACGCGCACGCGCACGCGCACGCGCACGCGCACGCGCACGCACACGCACGCACGCACGCACGCGCACGCACGCGCACGCGCACGCGCACGCGCACGCGCACGCACGCACGTACGCACACACACACACACACGGACGCATTTGGGCCGGCGGCCCTTTCTCCAGGGTGGCCTCACAAGGGCGCGGAGATAAAAGGCAAATCGGGTGGCGCGATGCGCGAAGTTGGGCTACGCAGATGAAGGGGTGTATGGGGGAACGCAATCCGGTGGCGTAAGTTATGCTTAAGCTTTCGGGGGTCCGCGCGGTTTCGGCGCTCTGGTTTCGCCCTGCCCTCATCCTGTATCCCCTCGGCTCTGGTGCAGGCCGAGGTTTCGTTCTGGTAAATCCACCTCTCTTGCTCCCAATCTCTTTGAACCGCTGGGCTCTTGCATCAGAGCAGGTGCTGCTCCTCCTCCCTCTCGTCTTCCTCTTCTTCTCCCCCTCCTCTTCCTCCTCATCTGCCTCCTCCTCATCCTCTTCCTCCTCCTCCTCGACCTCCTCCTCCTCCTCCTCCTCCTCCTCCTTCCCCTCCTCCTCCTCCTCCTCCTCCTCCTCCTCCTCCTCCTCCTCCTCCTCCTCCTCCTCCTCCTCCTCCTCCTCCCCCTCCCCCTCCTCCTCTCCCTCGTCGCACCGGGCGGCGGCGACAGCTGTGGGTAGGCTTGCCCCGATATTGGGGACCTCCCTCTGGGGTCGGCGCCGGGCCCCCCCGCGCGAGATGCGCGGCGGGGAAAGGGGGGGAGTTAGCGCCGCCCCAAGATCAGAGCCCCGAATCATCAGGGGTAACTCGGGTCAGGGATAACTCGGGTTCGTTTTTCGGGAATCCAAACCCGAGTTACCCCGGACCCGAGTTATCCCGGATAACTCAGGCGTCCAGAGCCCCGAATCATCAGGGGTAACTCGGGTCAGGGCTAACTCGGGATCCTTTCTCGGGAATCCAAACCCGAGTTACCCCGGACCCGAGTTATCCCGGATAAGTCGGGCGCCCAACAAGAATCTGGACGCCCGAAATGGGTACTGAAAGAATGGGTACGATGCCCAACAGCAGTTCTTGTTCATTCTGAACAGGATCCGCTGTCCGCGCCGCCGCGGCCTGTGTCCATTCGAGACAGAAGGCCGCCTGCCCAACAGCGGCCGCTGTTGGCTTGGGACAACATTTGTTGTTGGGCATAGTGCCCATTCTTTCAGGACCCATTTCGGGCGTCCAAAAAGAAACCCATGCGGGCCTCCATCGTTGTCAAATGTTTTCAATCGCTGTAGTGTTTCAGTTTTCATGGAAGGGGGGATGGGGACGGAGGTAAGGATGGGGAAAGGGAGGGGAGATGGGGAGGTAGAAGAGGAATTCGCTCAGGTAGGTTCAGGGGGGGATGCAGCGACCCCTTGTGGGCCACTCATCGCCGATAGGGGCCTGATGGCCCACCCCGCCCAGGATCCTGCGGTTTTCGATGTCGAGTGCCTATCGCCGATGTATGACCGGTTCGAGCTTGATGTTTTCCTCCCATGAGTCGGTCCCCCCTTCCCCCCCCCCCCTTCTCGTGCCCCGATTGGGGGGGGATGGGTTGGAGATGCGGGGATGGAAAGGTAAAGGGGGATGGGCATGTAACATGTAGATAAGAGGTGGATGGGGAGGGTGAGGGGGGATGGGAAGGTGGAGGGGGGACAGGGAGGCGGAGGGGGGGACGGGGAGGTGGATGGGGGGAGCGGGGAGGGGAGAGGTGGATGGGGGAAAGGGTAGACAACGGGTACTACAGATGTGTCTGCCAGTGAGGAGAACAAGGCGGAGTACGTGCGGCTCCTCTGCGAGGCGCGCGTCTGCAACGGAGCCCGCGTGGAGACCCGCAGCTTCCTGGAGGGCTTCTGGGACCTGCTGCCCCTGCAGCTGCTGCGGGAACACGGCGTGACACCGCAGGCGGGGCCGGGACTCCTCCGGGGATGCCCTCCCGCTGCTCCTTCCCCCTCCACGTCCGCATGTTCATCCTCCTTCCCCTGCCCCTCCCCTCATCCTCCTCCCCTTCCTCCTCCCCCTCACCCCCTTCCGCCAAATCCACATCTTCCTAAAACTCTGCCTCCACCCCTTTGTTGCCCTCCTCCTGCTCCTCCTTCTCCTCCTCCCCTTGCCCCCTCCTCCAACTCCCCCTCCCCCCTCCTCCTCGTCCTCGTCGTCGTCGTCCTCCTCCTCCTCCTTCCCTTCCTTATCCCTTGATCCGCCTGCCTTCCATCTCACCCACCTCCTCCCACTTCTCCTCCGCCACCTCTACAAGCATTCAGTATGAAAACGATTCTCCCCCGAAGACCCCTTATGAGGGAGCGCGTCCAGTTAAAGTGTACGGGTCCTCCCGAATCACGGGAGGGGTGGAATGCTCAGCGATATATGTAAAGCATGTGTTTCAGGAGGGCAAGACGCACCGACGGCGTCTTGGCTCAAGCCGGTTAGTGCGAAGCGTCACGCAGAGGGCGAATCTTACCCGCGGCGGTCTTAGCCCCCCAGTTCCATTTTTTGTATCAGTGCGAACGAGTCAGTCACCACGACGGCGCTCTATTTCATCAACCTCGTATTCATATCTTTCCCCTCGTGCCTGATCAGCTCGAGGGCGTGCTGCAGCTAAGTTTCACCGGCGGACGCGCCGGTCTTTACTGACATCCTCCGACGGACTGCGGCGGAGGAGTACGAGGAAAGCAATTGGGTAGCGGAGCAGGTGCGATTCCGCACTTGTTCCCAGTACGCGAGTGCTGGAAGTCGTTCGCGAACGTACGGACAGTACAACAACCTGCGCGACATCATGGCGAACATACCTCAGGGAGCTGGGCCGGCAGCGGGTTTCATCATGCAGTCGAATACAAAGGTGCCGCCGAGCTGGGGTCCCAGTCGTGAAACGGCCCACCCACTACGAGATTGGATCACGGATGTTCGCATGCGGGAGGCGGCGACGGACATTCCTCAGCGCTCGATGGCACCGCCAGTGGTTCTGCAACTCGGAGGTCTTGCACGTGAGATATGCAGAGAACTACCGCCTGAACAGTTGCAATATGGATTGTAGATGGACCTTCGAGATGGCAATTGAGATTGATGGCGTTCTGGAACGGATCTTCTGATACATGGGTTGCGACGGAAGTTAATGCCGCTGGAGGTAGAGACCGCGATCGCGAGTATGACAGATTGGTGGCTTTTCGACGCAGGCCAGGAAAACCTGCAAATCAAGCTTTGGCGAGGAGCGATATCTTGAAGTTTAAGACCGAGGACCTGGGTTATTTCCATCTGGGGGTGCCGAATCTGGCGTGGATCTTGCTGAACTCGCTAGGCATACCTCCACCACAGTGGGCTCAGTTTCTTGCGATGACTGAAGGTAATTTACCTTCGAGTGAGGCAGAGCTCACGGCGATGATCTCTTACATTCCGCGGCAACATCATCTCTACGAATGGAGTGGATTGGTACGTGCAGCGCATCAGTCCCGACAGCAGCATCACTACACGAACCAGGCGAAAGGCGCAACCGATCCGTTCTTCTTCTCGGACACCGGCCAACAGTAGCAAGACGCGGGTACTCAAGCGGGACCTCATTATCAGCGGCCATACTTCCCGGGAGCAGTGTCGTTTTCCTTCAGCGGGAATTCACAGAGGTACAGTGGAGATGGTTGTTGGTGCAGCTCGTGTCATAAGGTGTTCTACAATCGAGAAGATCTGGTCGCGACCGAGACCAGCGAGGACGATGGCGAGGCGTTGACGGAAACGACGATTCAGCATGGACCTTGAATGACGGGCGAAGATTTGTATGATGTTGACGAAGACGCACTGGCGTCGTCGCACCGATCAACCTCCTCGCAAGCATCGGTGCGCGAGCAAGAGCAAGGGAAGCAGCGAGAAAGCTGTCCGAATCCAGCGCAGCAGCGGATGGTCATTATTGTCGGAAGCGGGTGGTGGAGCTCTTTGCCCCAGAACACTCGTGAATACTATGAGGGGAGGGGCTGGGGAGAGAAGGCGAATCCTCGAGGCGCTAACGGACAGCCTGCGAAGCGCAACCGCTGCGGAAGCGGCCAGCATCTGCGGCGGAAGTGCGACGCCCCATGGGCCGATGATTATCGCAGGCGCCGGGCCGCGCCCAGCGGCAAGGGCCGCGCTGCGACCGGCGGCGAAGCAGGCAAGGTGGCCCAGGAAAATGGCGGCAGTCCACCGGTGAGCGCTCTGCAGCAGCGGCAGCGGCGCACAGGACTTCCGCCGGCGCCTGCAGCGACGCGCCACTTCTTCACGACGCCGAGGGCAGAGGCAAAGTGCGAGGGCGACCGCTGCCCGGAGGTGCCAGACCAGAACCAGATCGAGGACGAGACGAAGGAGGGCTCGCGCCTGCGCGGGTCGCCTTCCCGGCCAGGCAGTCTTCCCGAGGAAGATGCTCGCCGTGATTGCGCTTCGTTAGCCTCGTGGAATTTGCCCCCGCCACGCCTCCAGAATGCGCGTCGATCGGCCGCGACGCCGCGCAGATGATCGAGCGGGCACGGGCTCGTATAACACGGGGCCCGATCGGCTCTGACCGTCGCCTCGAGACCAGCCCGGGCACCTCAGCCGCGACGCGGTTCGCGGGCCCTGTATTTTTACGGGCGCGGTGAGACGAGGCCAGTGTTCTGAGAGGCGCCGAAGATCGAGGGCATGGAATGTTGGTTCATCGACCCGGGAGCCCGCGACATTCTGGTGGGCGACCACTGGGTCGAGCGCCAAGGTAAGCTGGCAAGGGGCGAGATGCCGGGGCCGATGCGGACGGAGATGGACGAGGCCATCGGCGCGGAGGGCGTCGGAGCCAGGGCCCAGATCGCAAGGGGGGAGATCGAGGTGCCAGGTGCAGCGAAGATGCGCAAGGCGAGACGCATCAGATCGAGCGCCAGACGCCAGTGGCCCCCGACTCCAACATCCCGGCCTGCACGGGGCAACGCGGCCTCGAGCGCGACAGGGCGGTGCTCGACGTGGTCAACCGCCCGCTGCGCCTGCGCGGACCAGGGGGGTCCGCTTCATCCCGCCGCCAGGGGCGCTCGCCTACGACGTGGCGATGTCGCGATCTGGACAGCTGCAGCTGCCGATCCCTCACTCTCTCGGGGGCGGCAAGGGCGGCGCGGCCAGGGAGAAGCAGAATCCAGCGAGCTGGCGCTCCAGCGGCGCGGAGGACAACCAGGGCGAGGAACCGAAGACGACAACGACCGCCACCCCGATGACAGACAGCGTCGTCGGAGGGCCCCGCGCGCGTTCCCGAACAGGGCCCGGAGATGATCGTGATCGATGGGGGCGTCGGCCATCCGATCCGCGCGAAGCTGTTGGGCCAGGCGAACATCAAGTTCGCCCGTTTAAGTCTCTTGCGCTCGTCGACCAGGGATCATGTTCGTCGACTCCTTGAGAGAAAGGCGCAGCGGGGCACGGGTGCGTCTTCGGCCCGCAGGAGACGATCGCGCTCGCAAGCAAGGGAAGACACGACGCCAACATCGCAGACTTCTGGCGACCTCAACACTCATCGCCCGTCTCGTTCAACTCAGACGCGCGTTGTTGGTCGGTTCCCAGACGACAAATGAGGCCTGGCAAGGGGAGGATATCATGAGCTACGACGACGACCCTGCCAGGATATCGCGCGACGGATCACAGATGGTGTAACTATCTGCAATGGGGGAGTGATATGACACCTACGACAAGTCAAAGGTTCTTCGCGGACATTGACATCCATTTTTAAGTCTTGCCGTTGTGGTTGGATATATACAAATCATCGAAGGTCGACTGGCATTGAGCAATCCGCGTTGGAAGGTCAGGCCTTGGCGGTGTTTTGGCAGAACGGACTCCGAGACAAGATGATGGACGCGGTGAGGGGCAGTGAGCCGACAGCAGCCGATGATGAGAGAGCAGCTCGATATCCCCATGCTGGAACGGACGAGCCATTTGACGAACCAGCTGATTCTCATTCCTCGGCTATTGGTCACAGAACAGTACGATTCTTCCCGACCGATTCTGCCATGGCCTACAGGAAGGAGCTGCGAGCTCGGAAGGCTGAAGGACAGGAGCCCAAGAAGAAGACAAAGTGGATGCTGGACCTGGACGTCATGGGCAATTCTGTGAGGAGCTGGACGATCTCGGTCCGCTTATATCTGGTGGGAGATGCCCGGCAATGAAATTATGCAGTACTTCTTAGAGCACTTCTACACCTAAGGCATCACGCGCGCTGGATGAGTCCATCATCGCGCTGAACGCCCCGCTCAGCGTGCACGGCGCCACTCCTTGCGCTGCTCTGTTTGGGGGGTGCCGGATATCTTGATGGAGCTCGGAGACGTGGGAGCTGAGGCTGATGGCGAATCAGGAGGCGCTCTCTCGCGCCATGTGCATGGAGTGCGAGAGTTGGCCCTGGCCTGCGTCATTCAAGGAAACGCTTAGGAGCGACTGAAACGCGCGCGTGGCGACCTCAGGCCGGGCGACCAGGTGGGCATCTCCAGGGATTTGCTCAACGAGGACGTCGCGGGCTGGCGAGGACCTTGCAACGTAGCGTTCATGGATCGCGCTGATGAAGGAAGGCATCGTGGACGTCAGGTGGCAAGGCCGGACGTTGCCTTGTCGACCCGCAGACGTGCGACGAGCGATTACCCGGATCACGACGCTGGCTGCTCCTGGACGAACCGATGTTCGACCTTGCCAGCTCGCGGTGTACAGCGTCGAGAACATGGCGAAGGCGACGGCGGTGCTCCTGGGCTATGAGATTGGACAGGACGGGCGCTGGAGGTTGACGCGCACAAGCAGGCGTCTACCGTCTGTGGTGCGCAGCATTTCATGTCGGAGCTTGCGACCTTTAACCATCTGGAGCTGTAGATGTCAGACTCGGACTGGGCACGAAAGAGATACCTTCAGCTCGCGGCCATCATGCCTGTCTTATCGTCTGGTGGTTGCCGAGAGAG